AAAAGAAATTAGGTTTGCAAGAAGCCAGGCCCTAGAGGTTACACATGTGGCCTTGTCTGGAGGTTACACATGTGGCCTCGCCTGAGCCGAACAGCACTCCATGCCTCCTCTGTGCTGCTGTCCATGTGCTGGCCTCTACTGGACTCTTCCAAGAGCCCAGGGAAAAGGGGTTTATTAACCCCATGAACAAACTTGAACTCAGGGCAGGGCAATGGTTTGCCCAAAGTCACACAGACTAAATGGTGGTGCTGAGAATGGACCTTAGGTCTTTATACTTTAAGGCCTTCTGAGCACAGTGGCAGTAAGTGTTGGACTGAAACATAAAGGTTGGCGGTTCAAATCCAGCAGCTGCTCCATGGAGCAGAAGTCAGCTCCAGTAAAGACTGACAGCCTTGGTAACTTATTGGGCAGTTCCACTCTGTTCAACAGGGTTGGTTTGAGTCAGAGTTGACTCAACCGCAGCCGAGGGGGATCAGCAGATGGGGACACAGTCAACAACTGTATATAGAACAATTTAAAGAGTCACATATATTTACCAGACACTTTCATACCCATTACTCATTTTCATCCTCATATAGGTTCCGATCTTGTTCGTAGGCTTCTATGAGGCATAGTCAACTCAACAGCGTCTTGCAACATCGGTTGAAAGCAGAGTATTATTATTCCCATACATACTACCAATGAGTGAGCCCTGGGGCGGAGTCTCAGGAAAGTTGTCCTCCTAACCCAAAGACTGGCAGTTCAAATCCCTCAAGTCCACCAGTGGCTCCAAGAGTGAAAGGCAGGCAGTCTCCTTCTGCGGGATTTACAACGTCAGAAACCCACAGGAGGGTCGTCTGCGTGTGATTCGGCTTCCAGCTTGACAGCAGTGCGCGAGCCAGTGAATGAGGGCCGAGGAAACGAAGCAGGAGGCGGAGTGAGGCGAGCTGTGCACAAACACGACAGGGAAATGGAGGACTATCTTTAATAAATAAACTGCGAGGAGGAAAAAGAAGTAAATGGGAAAAAGAAAAAAATTACCAAAACAAAATAAACGATTCCGCCTGGAACTTCCCTCCTCCCTTCAGCTTGAGTTTGTTCGTGCATAAAATGAGAATCACGTCACACCGACTGTTGTGGCTTTGGGAGAATTCTACAGCATGATGTTTATTTTCGGGCTCATTTATTTGTATTTTTCATTTTTCATCTATAGCCAATGGTCCGTGTGAATATAAATTAGTTGAAGACTCAGAGGCCCCAGGTCAAGATGGCACAGACGCCAGCACCCTTGTGCAATCTAGGATTTCTAAAAAAGGAGGGCACTCAGTCACGGCTGGGTGGGGGGACGCCTTCAGCCTCCCAGGGACCCCTCCTTCTGCTCCTAATGCACCCTCGGAGTCTAACCACCGCTTCTTACAGGAGAAAATGCTTTGAAGGTTGCCTTACCTACTGATTTTTTAAAAATATTTTTTATGATTTTTTTTGTGTTGTCAAATCAGATCTGACTTGTACAGGAGGAGATTGTCCCTCCTTCTCCAGCAGAGCATCTGGTGGATTCGAACCGGGCACGTCTGGGATTGCAGTGCAGCTTCTTGCCACTAGGCCACCAGAGCTCAGCCCTACTGGTTATTTTTAAAACAAGTTTGTTTGTTTGTTTGTTTGTCATTACCTCACAAGCCTTTGAGAGGCTCCTGGTGTTGTTAGGAGCCACCAAACCAGAAGTGACACCCAGCTGAGCCTCCAGTGAGGTTTCAGAGGCAGGAAATCACACGGGCGGAGATTGCCCATCTTTCCCTCGTGGAGCAGCTGGTGGCTTAGAAGCCAGTTTCTTCAGCTCCTGACTACTTGGGTGCCTCCCTTTCAGAAGACCCTACTCTACTACGATTTCCTCATTTTGCAGACAGGCAAAAAGGGAGAGTTAATACTTCATGATCTACCGTTGTGTCGCAAAACATCCCAAACTCCGTGGCCTCCAAGTTTCATCATCTCGAAGAGTTCTTTGTGCTAGAAGGAGTTTTCTTACGGTAGCTGCTCTTCTCAGTGTGCCAGAGAAAGCGCATCCTGGTGTGGTAGCCCTGTTTGGTGGAAATGGTTAAGCATTTGATTACTGGCCAAAAGGTTGGCAGTTCAAATCTATCCAGAGGTGCCTGGGAAGGCAGGCCTGTTGATCTGCCTTCAGAAGGCTACACAGCCTTGGAAACCCTGCTAAGCAGTTTTACTCTGTGCACATTGGGTCACATAAGTCAGCGCTGACCCGTCGGTAACCAGGCAACAATTACCCAGATGGAAGCTGTGTTGTAACTTTACACAAGACATGCTCTCTCCAGTTTGCCACAGTCCCTACCATTCCGCGTTGTCTTTCACTCGGACTATTTCATTCATATGCTAGCTGGCAGCTCCGTGCTACACACACCTTTTTTTTTTTAGTCAAAGTCACTGCCTTTCTCATCTGGAACCTTCTACTTATCTCCTAATGTGAGCTCCCTCTTCTCATCATCTTTATTAATGAAAAATTGGGGTTGACTACTAGCAACACAGACTAGAGGTAGCATAGGACAACTAGGAAGCTGCTGCTTCTCCCGCTCCTCCATTCTGGTGGCTTTAATGATAAGGAGTTGTGTTGTTAACCTGAAGGCGTGAGGTTCAAATCCACCAGCTGCTCCACGGGAGAAAGATGGGTGGTTTCCTCCGGTGCAATTTACTGCCTTTGAAACCCTGTTGGAGGGTCAGCTATGAGCTGGCCTGACTCTACGGTGCACAACAGCAGCAGCATTACATTTATAAAACCTTGTCTATTAATAATTCAAAAGTGATCTGACAGTCCACTGTCATCATGCACCCAGGTGCCGTCTGTATTCCTGCTCTGCTGTGTCAGTGTGTAACTTGCATCTTTGTGGTTACATCCTTGATGGCCTAAGAAGGCTGCTGTGTTCTAGCCATCGCATCTGCATTCCACAGGGTATGAAGAGAAAGAACAAAAGGACACTAGCAAGCTGTCTGCCCTCCTCCCCTTAAAAAACTTTTTAAGTCGTACCAAACAACTACTTAAGTTTTGTTAGCCACCTATAGCTGTCGGATAGGTTGAACAATATAGTCTTTTAACTGGACGTAAATTTGATAGAAGAAGAGGTGAGAAGATATTGCATGAGTCACACCACCTAACTAAGCATCTTACTATAGAAACCAGAGTGAGTCTTTAAAATTAAAACTGTATCACCTCACTCTTTAGCTTAACTCTTGAAAGACTTCGATCCACTAAGAATGACATACAGCATTTTCCTCAGGGCTTACAAAGCCCCACATGATCTGGTCCCTGCTTTATTCTAATCTCCTTCACTTTCACTGTCATCCTCACGCGCAGGGCTCCAGCCACCCTGGTTCCTTCCTTGCTCGAGAACACTCTGGTTAAGAGTCTTTGTTCTCTAGCCACATCGGCTTTGCCTCTTTACTTGCGGTACAACCCCTCTGTGCTCTGGAGGGTTGACAGCTGTAATATATCACATGCTTGTTGTAAGAATGAAATTCTTGTGAAGCTCCTAAAACGAGACCTGGCACCATCTGTTAATATTAGTTGTTGTTCAAACCATGAACTGTTCTGTCTTGGAAACTTCGCACTTACTGTTGCCTCTGTCTAGAATGTTCTCTACCCAGATATTCACATGGCTTTCATTCTTATGTCATTCAGATTGCTGTTCAAATGTCCCTTTGTCAGAGAACCCTTAGCTGACTACTGTATTTAAAATGATACTACTTCTCTGTTACTCTCAATTTCTTTTTCCCTAACATATTTTTCATGATAAATTATCACCATTTGAAAGTCTCGTATGTTGTTGTT